AACTTGTTTTTGATATCCTTCATATTCTGTGTGGTGGTCAGTTCACAGCAGTGATAGAAATTAATCTGTTCCAATAAGTTTACATTGATTTTTACATTTTATGGGTATTTTTACCTTTTATAACGCCTTTTTTAAAAAATATATATATATAAAAGTGTGCATCATCTTTTGAGTCAAATTCTTACATTTAATCAGTCAATTAGAATAATAAGACATTTGGGCTGTTACCAAACAAATGATATCAGTATCAACAAAATTCATCTTTGCAATGCAGAGGAAACACAGAAGCCGCATCTGAAGTGGCATTTAGATGTATTTACACACTGTTTATTGCAGCTCAGAGGGACACGAATGCATTTAACTTAGTTACAAATCCATAAATAATATTTAGTTATTTTAAACATGAAACATTGAATACTGATATTTAGAATTATTTAAAAAATGAAAAGATACTTTAAATGTGAAATTAAAACCGCCAGTAGGTGGCAGCAAGTCACTGTTAAGAAGTGATTCATTGCGACTGAACCGAATCATTTAAACGGTTGATTCATTCAGGAACGAAACGCCGTCAAGTTGCTCAGAGATGTAAAACAGCGCTGTGGCTGTGTTTGGAGTAATTTTTGTTGCCGAAATAGAGCATTACAGGCAATATGGTGTCTAAAATGTAATGTTTTAGAGGTGAAAACTGGCACTCTTCGTGTGATATTGACTAACTTTCTTTCTGTGGTATTTTTATGCATAACTCTATGGGCTTGGTTTGTACATGAACTGGGATGAATTTTTATGCGGTAATTGATTATTTCATTCATGCATGCATAATTGTCATGCAGACTATAGTGTAGTTATTAAAATATAATCAAATAAAACATGGTGATGGCTGTCCAGAGAGAGCATGAAATCAGTTTTTATGCACGTCTGCTTGGTTTGGACGACTTCTGTTTCCAAGAAGTGACAAGCAAAGGGGAAAACCAATCCACTGCCTCTTTCTAGCTATTATTGATACTATCATTAATATACATTTTTATATAGCTAGTTGTAAGAATTCTGTATTTGCACCGAAAGTATTTCCATGCCATTTGAATATTAATGCCTTGAGCAACTTGTCACTAAAATCTACTTATGCATAAGAAAATATCATGCAAAGCATCACGGCTGCCAGAATCTTTGTAACTCTTCTGTGTATTTCAGATATTTTAGTTTAGTTTAATTTAGTTAGTTGTATCATAGTTGGCAACTTCATTGTGTGCAGAAAAGCCCTTATATCCCTCTTTAGATCTGTAATATTAATTTTAAATTTGTATTACTCTACTTCAAAATAGCATCTGTGTTTCAAAATGTGCTTTAAAGAATATTTCCATTGCTAGAACATTCAAATTCAGTCCATACATATTGCATTAGTAAATTGAACAACATATCTTTATTATTGCTGTGCACAATAATGGATTTCTTATGCAAAATCATGCAAAGATCCACGTTTTATTTATTTTTCACGGCTGTAGAGTGTTTTCATCATTCCTGTGGTTGTTGGGCTCATGGTTTGTGTGTTTCTGATGAAAGCGTGTGCAACGCAACAGGTCAGACGAGGATTTCAGCTCGGTGACAGTAATAATGTCTGTGAGATTTTTGCTTTTGGCTCTTTGGTAATTGGCCTGTTCAGAGCAGGTTCTTTTTCAATGCTTTTTAAAATAAATGCATACATTTTCCTTTTTTATCAAACATTGCTTTTTTATCATACATTTCTTCATGGCTTGTGGTTTGTAAGTCCTTTTAAATAAAACCCATCTCCCACTGGAATAAATCTAAATAACATGGCATTTTTACATGCTATAGAACTAATCTACAAATACTTAAAACAACGTTTTTCTATGTTCTTTTGTATTCATGCATTTTTTTTAATAGTTCATATTGAGATATTTGTACTTGAAAAATAAATTTCTCACATTGCAGAGCCTTTCAAATAAACTATTGAAGATATAAATATGATTAAAATTACAGGACCTTAAATGTATGTTTTCCCATATATATTCATATGGATTGTAACCTAAAATATGTATGTTGGAAAATAAATATTTCACCGTTTCATGAGAGTTGAGTTATTCCTTAACTATCATTCATGATTGACTGAATTGAAGAAACATTTTTTATTAATTAGTTTTATTGGTAGATAAGTTTCTAGTTTTCATATTTTCAGTTAATTTCCGGACTGTCTATCCCTGAACAGTAGGTTTTAAATCTTATAATTTGAATATAATTATGAATTGATTCTGTTTTTGTCAAACTTTCCCATATACTAACTAGGGCTGCACGATTAATCGAATGCGATTGTCATGCACATTTTGTTAAAAAAGCCGGTTCTGTAATCAGCAGGATATCATCATCACGTGCTTTCAGATGGAGGAAATATCGGTATCGGGCGAGTACTGAAAAAAGTGGTATCGGTGCATCCCTAATTAAAATTAAACTTTTACAGGAAAGTTATTCCATGACTATAAACAGTCATTTATGAGTGAGTGAATTTAACAAGTTAGTTTGATACTTAATAATTGTAATAATGGTGTGGTTATTGATTTGTGATGTTTTTGCGTCCGTAGCATTAGCTGACCTGCAGTCATGGACCCGGCTTTACCTCCAGACCTGATCCCTGAGCCTGAACCGGCTCCAGACGTCACTTCACAAGCAGACGCCGTTCAAGATTCTCCAGTCCAGCCCACCCTGGATTCGAACCCACAGCCATACCTGGAACCGGTTTCAGATCCGACCCAGGAACCCTCTGCAGAACCGACCTTGAACCCAGAAATAAAGCCAGAACCATTAGCACCAGAACTCACACCAGAACTACCGATCCCAGAACCGGCCCCGGCTCCAGCGCCTCCTCCAGCGGCTAACTCCTACAAGATCATGACCTTCAGACCCACCATGGAGGAGTTCAAGGACTTTGGGAAGTACATCGCTTACATCGAGACCCAAGGAGCTCATCGTGCCGGTCTGGCAAAGGTATTGAATGGAAGTTTGATTTAAGATACATTTCAATTTTAAATTAAATGGAAGTTTGATTTTAAGTTTATATTTGAATTTTAAATTAAATGGCAGTTTGATTTAAGTTTATATTTGAATTTTAAATTAAATGGAAGTTTGATTTTAAGTTTATATTTGAATTTTAAATTAAATGGCAGTTTGATTTAAGTTTATATTTGAATTTTAAATTAAATGGAAGTTTGATTTAAGTTTATATTAAAATTTTAAATTAAATGAAAAGAATTACATTTAAATTTAAAAGTAAAGTTTAATTACTCATTTGTGAGTGTCATGAATAACAATAAGCAACACTTTTTGACAGTGTATATAAATCTAGGTTAATAGGGAATGTTCGGCAACCGAAATTATTTGGCCGAAAATAGCAAAAAATTCTCTTTCGGTGTTTGGCCGAATAAGTGAAAAGGCCGAATAATATGTACCGAACAATGACTAACGTGATCAAATAGAGGCACGCACTAATGCAGCAAACATGTCAGCAGTGTGAAAGTATTTAAATCTATCAGAGAAAGACGCAGAAATCATTACAAGCACGAAACACCGACAGCGAGAGACTGTTTAGTGCTGCATCACGTCTCCGATGAGAAGAAGAGGTGGCGAAATTACCTCAAACGATTAGTAAATAAACTGCAGAATGTTGTATTTTCTAATGCACGCACGAATTGCATGTATTCTGACAGCGTTGCACGAGCTCACGGCGCCAGGGTTCAAAGTCCAAAGCACGAGGAAAATCTGCGCTGAAACGGTGTTACTCGTCAGTTGCTCAGTAACATTTTTGTGATTTTTTTTTAAAAAGCATGTGACAATGTGATACGTGCGACAAACATCTTCCCAAATTCGTAATGAGAATCATTT